AGAGCAGCTCTATCACCTTCTGGGGTCCTTACATATTTAGTAAAGACACCCCTCACCCCCCTGTTGTCGGCACGTTTGTTTGGGGTGTGGTGGCCCTGGGGTGTGTCGGAGGTGAGTTATACTGTCAAAATTTGTCAACTTAAGCATTTACCATAAGACAACGTAGTCCCTATTCTGTTCTGTGATATCTTTTGACTGGGCTGGAATTTCATTGAAATTATCATTTTATAGAGATTGTATCTTCACGAATTGTCGCTCAGTGTTTATATAGAGATATCAGCATGGCTGTTAGTGAGACTGCAGTCTGCAGTTTAGTGCCAGCATCCAATGTCCCCATTACAAGTGGATCTGAGAGCAGTCAGTTGTTACCTGGAGATATACCATGCGCACTCACTAGGTGTAATAATAACAATTTATTGCTATTGATCCATTTCCTGTGGGTAGGGTCACACTCACTTGTCGCTCCAGCGTCCGTTCCACTCCACCTTACCCCAGGGATTTCTCAGTTGGAGGAGTTGCACTTTACCACCATTTTTTTCCACCTGCAGAGTATTACAGAGAAAGGACGGAGTGAATATATAATAATATAAAGAAAAGAAGTGGTCCTTTATAATATAAAACAATAAACCTTACTTTTTGAGTATGTCTGATATCTATAGACGAAACATGCTGCCACAGGCCGTGTTTATACCTGGGGCACACATGCAGCCAAACATGCTGCCACGGGCGGTGTTTATAGCTGGGCCACACAAGCAGCCAAACGTGCTGCCATGGGCCGTGTTTATACCTGGGCCACACATGCAGCCAAACATGCTGCCATGGGCCGTGTTTATACCTGAACCACACATGCAGCCAAACATGCTGCCACGGGCGGTGTTTATAGCTGGGCCACACATGCAGCCAAACATGCTGCCATGGGCCGTGTTTATAGCTGGGCCACACAAGCAGCCAAACGTGCTGCCATGGGCCGTGTTTATACCTGAACCACACATGCAGCCAAACATGCTGCCACGGGCGGTGTTTATAGCTGGGCCACACAAGCAGCCAAACGTGCTGCCATGGGCCGTGTTTATACTCTGGGCTACACATGCAGCCAAACATGCTGCCATGGGTCGTGGTTTATACCTGGGGCACATGCAACCAAACATGCTGCCACGCGTGTTTATAGCTGGCTACACATGCAGCCAAACATGCCGCTAATGTTTATAGCTGGGCCACACAAGCAGCCAAACGCGTTGCCATGGGTCAGGTTTATAGCTGGGCCACACACAGCCAAACATGCTGCCATGGGTCGTGTTTATAGCTGGGCCACACACACAGCCACAAACATGATGCCACAGGTATCGTGTTTTACCTGGGCCACACATGCAGCCAAACATGACGCCATTGCGTCAGAGCGATAGTTGGCCACACACGAGCTAAACATGCGCTGCCAATGGGTCAGGTTTATATCTGGGCCACACACACAGCCAAACATGATTGCGTCGTACTTATACCTGGGCCACACATGCAGCCAAACATGACGCCCACAGGTCAGGTGGCTTTATACCTACCACACATGCAGCCAAACATGCCATGGGTCGGGTTTATACCTGGGCCACATACACAGCCAAACATGATGCCACTACATGTTTGGTAAGATACCACACACACAGCCAAACATGACGCCACAGCTGTAGTTTATACCTGGGCCACATACACAGACAAACATGATGCCACGGTCAGAAATTATACTCCACACACATGCAGCCAAACATGACGCCACAGGTCAGAGCCACCACCACACATGCAGCCAAACATGACGCCCACAGGTCAGGTTTATAGTTGGGGCCACACACACAGCCAAACAGATGATGCCACAGCCGTGTTTATACCTGGGCCACACACACAGCCAAACATGATGCCACAGCCGTGTTTATACCTGGGCCACACACACAGCCAAACATGATGCCACAGCCGTGTTTATACCTGGGCCACACACACAGCCAAACATGATGCCACAGCCGTGTTTATACCTGGGCCACACACACAGCCAAACATGATGCCACAGCCGTGTTTATACCTGGGCCACACACACAGCCAAACATGATGCCACAGCCGTGTTTATACCTGGGCCACACACACAGCCAAACATGATGCCACAGCCGTGTTTATACCTGGGCCACACACACAGCCAAACATGATGCCACAGCCGTGTTTATACCTGGGCTACACACACAGCCAAACATGACGCCACAGGCCGTGTTTATAGTTGGGCTACACACGCAGTCAAGTATCATGCTGCCACGGACCATTTTTATAGCTGGAACACACACACAGCCAAACAAGGTGCTTTATAGCAGGACCAGGTATAGTTTCTTACATAGTGTGTGAAAGAGACCTGAGGAGCTCTGTCCCTTGTGGGCATCACCCAGTGCTATAGTTTTATAAGAACTCCACACTTACTACACAGGTTGGAACATGAACATTTTAAGGCGACAAAGATGTACCTCCAGTGGATTTTTCAGAAAGCATTGTTGGCTATGAGGATGATCGGTAACCGCAGGTGAGACCTTACCTCGTACACTCCGATCACTGAATACGCGTGACCCTTCACCAATCCCTCCGGGGTCTTCATTTCACTCTCATTCTGGCTCGCAATCTGCAAAAATAATGTGTGGATGGATTTTTGGAAAAACACAATATTCATGAATTTAATCGTTAACATGAGTGGTTATGGCGTGTTGATCTAACGATAAATCTGACTGCTAGATTTTATTCCAAGTTTGTGACAATATTTTTAATCGCTTTAAGTTGGGGTTTTCATTTTCACCTTCTTTTGGATCAACAGCTATATAACTCTGTAACGATTTAACTCTGTAATGATATAACCCTGTAACAATGTAACCCTGTAACAATGTAACCCTGTAACAATGTGACCCTGTAACAAGGTAACTCTGTAACAATGCAAATCTGTAATTATATAACTCTGTAACAATTTAACTCTGTAATGATATAACCCTGTAACAATGTAACTCTGTAATGATATAACTCTGTAACAATGCAAATCTGTAATTATATAACTCTGTAATGATACAACTCTCTAACGATATAACTCTGATGATCTGTAATGGTATGACTGTAACAATAAACTCTAACGATATAACAATAACTCTATAGTGATATAACTCTGTTGGAATATAACTCTGTAACAGTATAAAAACAATGTGAAATCGGTGTAGCGCTATATACATACATATAATAGGGTTGAGCCTAATAGAATAGTCAGGCTTCCAAATGAGGGTAATTCCAATATCTTATAAAGTCCACCTAAAATAAGCAAAGAGAACTCTAATAGTGTAACACTGTAAATTAAGATGATAGTGAGAGTCAAATATAATAACAAACTCACATTCTTCTGAGCTTAATGCCAAGCTCAGGAATAAGTGCGTATAGGTCCGTACAGGCGACCTTTCCCTTCTTCTTATCTGGTGTGTATCTCAGATCGTCTCTAGGACTCAAGTAAAACAGATATATAGTGTAGAATGTCTGTATACAATATTACTACTTAAAGTATATAATATACTCACAAAAATGGAGCCTCTATATCGGCTCAGTCTCTGCACGTTGAATAAAATGTAGAACTTTTCTAAGCAGGAACCAGAAAAAGCCCATATAATAATGTAAAAGGTATATAAAATTTATTGCATTACAAGGGTGTAGAAAAAACCCTCTATAGTAAATTAAAGCGCCAAAATACAAAGCGCAGAAAAATATAAAATAAAATAAACAAATAAATAACAAATGGGCATAACAATATCGTACACTTCTTTCCAGAACGCGTTTCACCGTAACTCCGACGGCTTCCTCAGCTAGATTCAATAGCCATTAGCTGTTTATTTTATTTTATATTTTTCTGCGCTTTGTATTTTGGCGCTTTAATTTACTATAGAGGGTTTTTTCTACACCCTTGTAATGCAATAAATTTTATATACCTTTTAAATTATTATATGGGCTTTTTCTGGTTCCTGCTTAGAAAAGTTCTACATTTTATTCAACGTGCAGAGACTGAGCCGATATAGAGGCTCCATTTTTGTGAGTATATTATATACTTTAAGTAGTAATATTGTATACAGACATTCTACACTATATATCTGTTTTACTTGAGTCCTAGAGACGATCTGAGATACACACCAGATAAGAAGAAGGGAAAGGTCGCCTGTACGGACCTATACGCACTTATTCCTGAGCTTGGCATTAAGCTCAGAAGAATGTGAGTTTGTTATTATATTTGACTCTCACTATCATCTTAATTTACAGTGTTACACTATTAGAGTTCTCTTTGCTTATTTTAGGTGGACTTTATAAGATATTGGAATTACCCTCATTTGGAAGCCTGAATATTCTATTAGGCTCAACCCTATTATATGTATGTATATAGCGCTACACCGATTTCACATTGTTTTTACCTTTTTCCTATATTGATGTAAATAAGAAAGATTACATCTAGGTGTTACAGCAGCTTGGCCTAAATATAACATTTTTTGTTAGACTAAAGAGTGTTTAATTTAATGATAGCGCCAGTGTATTACTTGTATTTTTATCTGTAACAGTATAACTCTATAACAATGTAACTCAATAACTCTGTAATAATATAACTGTAACAATGTAACTGTCACTATGTAATAATATAACTGTAACAATGTAACTCTGTCACTATGTAACACTTTAACTATGTAACTCTATATAATTAAAAGTCTACCTGAAAAGCTAGGATTATATTTCACACCCAGTACGTTTAAGGCCTCAAACAAAGGACATCTTAAGGGAATTTGAGAATCTCTTTAAATTATGCTGTTTATATCTTATAGAATTCTTCACTGAATAATGCATTAAATTCTTACATTTTGAGAGGTGGGAGGGCTAAATTTGGGGGAGAAGAATCTGTCTTCAGCCAGCATAGTGCAGCTGGTAATAAATAAATGGAACTACATGCTGATACATCCAATGTCACTGTGTCACTAGGACCACTGAATACAGAAAGCGACTGGTTTCCATTGTACAATATAAAAATAGAGGATGACTCTCTGATAGTGAGTAGTGGCCAGTGGACCAGGTAGGAGTAGAGAATGACTCTCTGATAGTGACTGGTGGCCAGTGGACCAGGTAGGAGTAGAGAATGACTCTCTGATAGTGACTGGTGGCCAGTAGACCAGGTAGGAGTAGAGGATGACTCTCGGATAGTGACTGATGGCCAGTGGACCAGGTAGGAGTAGAGGATGACTCTCGGATAGTGACTGATGGCCAGTGGACCAGGTAGGAGTAGAGGATGACTCTCTGATAGTGACTGATGGCCAGTGGACGAGGTAGGAGTAGAGGATGACTCTCGGATAGTGACTGATGGCCAGTGGACCAGGTAGGAGTAGAGGATGACTCTCTGATAGTGACTGGTGGCCAGTAGACCAGGTATGAGTAGAGGATGACTCTCTGATAGTGACTGATGGCCAGTGGACGAGGTAGGAGTAGAGGATGACTCTCGGATAGTGACTGATGGCCAGTGGACCAGGTAGGAGTAGAGGATGACTCTCTGATAGTGACTGATGGCCAGTGGACCAGGTAGGAGTAGAGGACGACTCTCTGACAGTGGAAGACAGGTGGAGGATATTGATGGAACTTACATTGATTGACGTTCCCATCAGTGACCTCTTCTCCACAGCTTTTTGGATCAGTGGATACAGGTTTGGAAGGGGAAGCTGAAGATTAATACTTTCGTCCAGACCTCCAGTGAAATCGACAAATGCCTCGTTAATCCAGCCTCCATTTAGGGCCTCGTACGATCCATTCAGTCTAAGAGTAAAAACAGTGTCTTAAAATAGGGCTTTGACCCAAAAACCTGACAAGAAGGGAACCTTGCCACTACTTCCCACACACACACCAATACACCACTACAAACCAACTGCAGCACCCATAAACAACACAGCAACAAACACACCTCAATTTAAAAATAAATAGGACCGGCACACTAAGGGACTCTACCCAGGTCTATGCTGTCATACCGGAATTATCTGCTCGATGTATGACCCAAGGGTTGTATAAAACTAATACAACTACTAAGGAGAACATTCCATGCTGGATACTCAGGGACCGGACTGTGATGACAGCAAAAAGTGACTTTTGATTCTGAAGGGGTTAAGGGATTGTAAAGTTTTGTGTTTTGTTTTAAATCCGCTGGTCGATCGTTTCTCACTAAACCTACCTCCCCCCCAGGATATTCCTGAAAGACGCAGAGTAGGCTGTACATAGCGAGGATTTCTGGGCGTCACAGAGTGCCATAGATTGCGCATGTTTATTGTATAAAAAACAGTTATTTTTTATTTATCACCTTGTGATCCATTTTTACAATATTCGGCCATTTATATTGTACAATACTATTTCGCTCTTCCAATTATATTAATACAATACAAACATAAAATCAAGCCCTGCACTCAAACTCCCACTACTCCTGAGCGGCAGCAATGACACATCAGTCCCAATACAAACAATAAAAATAAAGAAAAGAGTTCATTGCGCACTATCCAAATCCCAACATAACCTAAATAACTGGAGGTTTTTAGTATCGCTTTCCCAAATTATATCAAGGTAATATGTGAGTAGGGGTTTAGAAAAATATCCCTCTCGGTCTCATTAGAGATTTTACCTAAAGCTGACGACAGCAGGGTGAATTGTTAGCATTGGGTTCACTTACAATGTTTTGCCTTGATGTGGCAGGTGAGCTTACACTTAAATGGCCATTGGAGTGATACCAAAACCCTCCAGTAATTTAAATGTGCATAGGGATTTGGGACAGTGCACAGGTAACTGTTTTAAGTTATACGTACAATATTTTCTTAAAACTTAAATGATGGGAATAAACAGGATTCTGTTAAAAGAAAACATTTCATGGGACCCAGCTAAATGCAGGGAAAACCCCGCCCCCTGCGCAGCCACGCATCATGCACAGGACAGGACTCTTTCCTTTTTCAGCCTATTCAATAAATAGCTGCCGTTAGTCGTCCCTATTAACCCCTACAGCTTCTAATTACTGACTGGTTATGGGGAATGTGTGAACTGTGTACTTACTTGGCGTACGCTTTCTCCAGCAACGCCGCCCAGAATTCAGTCTTCTGTGCAGAACTGACGAAAACCAACTCTCCATGTTTTGTTGGAAGACGATCGTCAATCACAACATCCTGCCATTCTCCATACTGCCAAAACTGCGGGTAAAATCTCTCAGTACACCATTTATATAAAACAGACATCAATGCATTCATGTTGAATATTTAATTCCATTCAAATAAACCATATTTCAATAACATACTCTGAAATCCCTCATTGTATAAGATTAATATTTATACAGACTACATGAAATGGCATGTACACAAAGTTATAGGATGTTGGATTGTGACAATGGCAGGAACGGACTTTTAAACATATCACTGTCATTAAGACACTGTGACCCTGGGAGGGACTGACCCTTAAACATGTCACGGTCATTAATACGCTGTGACCCTGGGAGGGACTGACCATTAAACATGTCACTGTCATTAGTACACTGTGACCCTGGGAGGGACTGACCATTAAACATGTCACTGTCATTAGTACACTGTGTGACCCTGAGAGGGACTGACCCTTAAACATATCACTGTCATTAGTGCACTGTGACCCTGGGAGGGACTGACCATTAAACATGTCACTGTCATTAGTACACTATGACCCTAGGAGGGACTGACCATTAAACATGTCACTGTCATTAGTGCACTGTGACCCTGGGAGGGACTGACCATTAAACATGTCACTGTCATTAGTACACTATGACCCTAGGAGGGACTGACCATTAAACATGTCACTGTCATTAGTACGCTGTGACCCTGGGAGGGACCGACCATTAAACATGTCACTGTCATTAGTACACTGTGACCCTGGGAGGGACCGACCATTAAACATGTCACTGTCATTAGTACCCTGTGACCCTGGGAGGGACTGACCATTAAACATGTCACTGTCATTAGTACGCTGTGACCCTGGGAGGGACTGACCATTAAACATGTCACTGTCATTAGTGCACTGTGACCCTGGGAGGGACTGACCATTAAACATGTCACTGTCATTAGTACGCTGTGACCCTGGGAGGGACTGACCATTAAACATGTCACTGTCATTAGTACGCTGTGACCCTGGGAGGGACCAACCCTGAAACATGTCACTGTCATTAGTACACTGTGACCCTGGGAGGGACCGACCATTAAACATGTCACTGTCATTAGTACACTGTGACCCTGGGAGGGACCGACCATTAAACCTGTCACTGTCATTAGTACACTGTGACCCTGGGAGGGACTGTCCATTAAACATGTTACTGTCATTAGTACACTGTGACCCTGGGAGGGACCGACCATTAAACATGTCACTGTCATTAGTACGCTGTGACCCTGGGAGGGACCGACCATTAAACATGTCACTGTCATTAGTACACTGTGACCCTGGGAGGGACCGACCATTAAACATGTCACTGTCATTAGTACACTGTGACCCTGGGAAGGACTGACCATTAAACATGTCACTGTCATTAGTACGCTGTGACCCTGGGAGGGACCGACCATTAAACATGTCACTGTCATTAGTACGCTGTGACCCTGGGAGGGACTGACCATTAAACATGTCACTGTCATTAGTACGCTGTGACCCTGGGAGGGACTGACCATTAAACATGTCACTGTCATTAGTACACTGTGACCCTGGGAGGGACCATCCCTGAAACATGTCACTGTCATTAGTACACAGTGACCCTGGGAGGGACTGACCATTAAACATGTCACTGTCATTAGTACGCTGTGACCCTGGGAAGGACTGAACATTAAACATGTCACTGTCATTAGTACACTGTGACCCTGGGAGAGACTGACCATTAAGCATGTTACTGTCATTAGTACACTGTGACCCTGGGAGGGACTGACCATTAAACATGTCACTGTCATTAGTACACTGTGACCCTGGGAGGGACCGACCATTAAACATGTCTCTGTGATTAGTACGCTGTGACCCTGGGAGGGACCGACCATTAAACATGTCACCGTCATTAGTACACTGTGACCCTGGGAGGGACTGACCATTAAACATGTCACTGTCATTAGTACACTGTGACCCTGGGAGGGACCGACCATTAAACATGTCACTGTAATTAGTACGCTGTGACCCTGGGAGAGACTGACCATTAAACATGTCACTGTCATTAGTACGCTGTGACCCTGGGAGGGACTGACCATTAAACATGTCACTGTCATTAGTACACAGTGACCCTGGGAGGGACTGACCATTAAACATGTCACTGTCATTAGTACACCCTGACCCTGGGAGGGACTGACCACAAACATGTCACCGTCATTAGTACGCCAGACCCCTGAGGGACTGACCACAAACATGTCACCGTCATTAAGTACACCAGACCCCATGGACTGACCATTAAACATGTCACTGTCATTATTACACCGACCGAGAGGGACCGACCATTAAACATGTCACCGTCACAGTAACGGCCAGACCCCTGTGAGAGACCGGACCATTAAACATGTCACCGTCATTAGTACGCCAGACCCTGGGAGGGACTGACCACAATAAACATGTCACCGTCACAGTACACCGTGACCATGGACTGACCATTAAAACATGTCACCGCCATTATTACACCGGACCCTGAGAGGGACCGACCATTAAACATGTCACTGTCATTAGTACACTGTGACCCTGGGAGGGACCGACCATTAAACATGTCACTGTCATTAATACACTGTGACCCTGGGAGGGACTGACCATTAAACATGTCACTGTCATTAATACACTGTGACCCTGGGAGGGACTGACCATTAAACATGTCACTGTCATTAATACACTGTGACCCTGGGAGGGACCGACCATTAAACATGTCACTGTCATTAATATACTGTGACCCTGGGAGGGACTGGGCATTAAACATGTCACTGTCATTAGTACACTGTGACCCTGGGAGGGACCGACCATTAAACATGTCACTGTCATTAGTACACTGTGACCCTGGGAGGGACCGACCATTAAACATGTCACTGTCATTAATACACTGTGACCCTGGGAGGGACTGACCCGTAAACATGTCACTGTCATTAGTACGCTGTGACTCTGAGGGACTGACCATTAAACATGTCACTGTCATTAGTACGCTGTGACCCTGGGAGGGACCGACCCTTAAACATGTCACTGTCATTAGTACACTGTGACCCTGGGAGGGACTGACCATTAAACAAGTCACTGTCATTAGTACACTGTGACCCTGGGAGGGACCGACCCTTAAACATGTCACTGTCATTAGTACGCTGTGACCCTGGGAGGGACTGACCATTAAACATGTCACTGTCATTAGTGCACTGTGACCCTGGGAGGGACTGACCATTAAACATGTCACTGTCATTAGTACACTGTGACCCTGGGAGGGAGGGACCATTAAACATGTCACTGTCATTAGTACATTGTGACCCTGGGAGGGACTGACCATTAAACAGGTCACTGTCATTAGTGCACTGTGATCCTGTGAGGGACTGACCATTAAACATGTCACTGTCATTAGTACACTGTGACCCTGGGAGGGAGCGACCATTAAACAGGTCACTGTCATTAGTACACTGTGACCGTGGGAGAGACTGACCATTAAACAAGTCACTGTCATTAGTACGCTGTGACCCTGGGAGGGACTGACCATTAAACATGTCACTGTCATTGGTACGCTGTGACCCTGGGCGGGACTGACCATTAAACATGTCACTGTCATTAGTACACTGTGACCCTGGGAGGGACTGACCATTAAACATGTCACTGTCATTAGTACACTGTGACTCTGGGAGGGACCGGCCATTAAACATGTCACTGCCATTAGTACACTGTGACCCTGGGAGGGACTGACCATTAAACATGTCACTGTCATTAGTACACTGTGACCCTGGGAGGGACTGACCATTAAACATGTCACTGTCATTAGTACACTGTGACCCTGGGAGGGACTGACCATTAAACATGTCACTATCATTAGTACACTGTGACCCTGGGAGGGACTGACCATTAAACATGTCACTGTCATTAGTACACTGTGACCCTGGGAGGGAACGACCATTAAACATGTCACTGTCATTAGTACACTGTGACCCTGGGAGGGACTGGGCATTAAACATGTCACTGTCATTAGTACACTGTGACCCTGGGAGGGACTGACCATTAAACATGTCACTGTCATTAGTACACTGTGACCCTGGGAGGGACTGACCATGAAACATGTCACTGTCATTAGTACGCTGTGACCCTGGGAGGGACCGACCATTAAACATGTCGCTGTCATTAGTACGCTGTGACCCTGGGACGGACCGACCATTAAACATGTCGCTGTCATTAGTACGCTGTGACCCTGGGACGGACCGACCATTAAACATGTCGCTGTCATTAGTACGCTGTGACCCTGGGAGGGACCGACCATTAAACATGTCACTGTCATTAGTACGCTGTGACCCTGGGAGGGACCGACCATTAAACATGTCACTGTCATTAGTACGCTGTGACCCTGGGAGGGACCAACCCTGAAACATGTCACTGTCATTAGTACACTGTGACCCTGGGAGGGACCGACCATTAAACATGTCACTGTCATTAGTACACTGTGACCCTGGGAAGGACTGACCCTGAAACATGTCACTGTCATTAGTACACTGTGACCCTGGGAGGGACTGACCATTAAACATGTCACTGTCATTAGTACACTGTGACCCTGGGAGGGACTGACCATTAAACATGTCACTGCCATTAGTACACTGTGACCCTGGGAGGGACCGACCATTAAACATGTCACTGTCATTAGTACACTGTGACCCTGGGAGGAACTGACCATTAAACATGTCACTGTCATTAGTACACTGTGACCCTGGGAGGGGCTGACCATTAAACATGTCACTGTCATTAGTACACTGTGACCCTGGGAGGGACTGACCATTAAACATGTCACTGTCATTAGTACACTGTGACCCTGGGAGGGACCGACTATTAAACATGTCACTGTCATTAGTACACTGTGACCCTGGGAGGGACTGACCATTAAACATGTCACTGTCATTAGTACACTGTGACCCTGGGAGGGACTGACCATTAAACATGTCACTGCCATTAGCACACTGTGACCCTGGGAGGGACCGACCATTAAACATGTCACTGCCATTAGCACACTGTGACCCTGGGAGGGACCGACCATTAAACATGTCACTGTCATTAGTACACTGTGACCCTGGGAGGGGCCGACCATTAAACATGTCACTGTCATTAGTGCACTGTGACCCTGGGAGGGACTGACCCTTAAACATGTCACTGTCATTAGTGCACTGTGACCCTGGGAGGGGCCGACCATTAAACATGTCACTGTCATTAGTACACTGTGACCCTGGGAGGGACTGACCATTAAACATGTTACTGTCATTAGTACACTGTGACCCTGGGAGGGACTGACCATTAAACATGTCGCTGCCATTAATAGGCTATGAGCTCTAAACATAGGTTACCAAACAACGACCGTCAGCGTTCATTGAATGTCTGATGTTTTTGCTGAGAGGTGACTTTTTAATATACTGTTTCAGATCACACTGGGCCCTGGCCATTTTTGGTATTTTGTTACATGTTCTGAAAAGTGTTATAATTTTTTAATTATTGATTTAATTTTTTTATTGTTATATATATTTGGATTTCTTTGATTTTTATTCACGCTCCAACTAAATATTATCTGTACTAAAGTACTGTGATTTATAGAAAGTGCCCCGTAACACTATGCCCCGGATGCTGGTAATTGTCCTGCGTTTCCCGAGCTGCTCCTTTATTTGATCTGTAAACGTTTCTCTGTCATCAGTACATGACTTGTATGATACCTCCGATGGGGAATAACAAGGCTCTCAGTGTTTCCCTTGTGTCCTGGGTATGTAGGTCAGTGCTAGTTAAACGGGAGGGGTTTGTGGGAGAAGCATAGATTTGGAGTGAGGATTATCTGAACATCTGCTCTGTTTACCAAGGAATCTGAAACCTGGTGAGAAAATTTAAATCTCTGCATTCTGATTGCTGTTTTCATGTCGGCTCTAATTTAATATACTGCCGTATTATGCTGTATTTATTCAATGCTCTATTTAACCCTTTGCTGTTTTTTCCCCAAACCATAAATCACAAGAAATAGACAAAGGAATTGCAACATTTAGGACAAAATAGTAGAATTGGAAAAATTCTCACTCAGCAGTTTTCCTGCTCATCTATTTCAGGCTACAGTTTGCAAGTCCCTTGTTAATTCTCCACCTTTCCTCGTGCCTTGAATAAACCTGTTTTATTATGAGACATGCGTGCGATGAGTTCGTATAAAGGGCCAGTTTTGGTGTTTACGTAGCTAGTTCTAGGCAGATCCAGCCTTATTGTACTCTTATACATAAAGCATTATTCTGTTTTTCAGACAAATTGATGTAAACACCAAGAACGTTTTCGGTCAGCCAAGGCTGCGGGCATCTCTCCGCGACCTCCGTTCACCACGCAAGAACTACAAGTCTACCATCGAGGACGATTTGAAGAGACTGATTATAATGGATAACCTGGGTCCCGAGCAGGAGCAGGATTGCATGGTGAGGAAAGGGAGAATGGCTCACATATCATTTCCTACCTGTGTCTTGCTGCCAGTGGGCCAACTTTTACTCTCCAGTTTGTTTTAACTTGTACAATTCCCATTCTGATCACCATTAACTGTCAAATGTTTAGCTCTTTACGGTGCTGTGCTATACAGGGATATATAGTGTAGATTTATATTTATTTCTTGAAAATATATAAAACAGCTGTGTGCCGCTGCTGTCATCTTGTATAATAGCATGTGGCAAACTCTGCCACTTGGACTAATTATTCTATGTGAATGGGTGAATTTCACCAAGGGAATAACCACACGAATTGACTTTCATGTTATTGTACTGTTTTTATGCAAATGCCCAAAACTACCGAACGGGAGACCACCCCGGGGTGGTCGTGTGTTTCCAATTAGCTGAGGTACTGAATTAAGTACCTGTATGTGTGGCCGCCATTTCGCCTACCGAAAACGTGGCGGCGGCCATCTTACGCACGAACAGCGGTACTTGGTTGTCGAACGCCTAGAACTCAAACCGGGCATTCGACTAACCAAGCACCGCTAAGACCTCCAGCATGCTCTGACAGCACGAATCAAACACACGAACGCCCCGGCGTTCGGTAGATAGATTCCCCTAAACGAGGGGAATCATACGAATGGTAGCAATCGCATGGATGGCTAAGCTGTTCGGTATTTGTGATTCACTAAAATAGACCGACTGCAGGGCCAGAATTCATGGAACTGTTTTCGGCTACTGAGTCCCTGCGGTCGGTCAGATCTTTAACGGTCTGTAACTCCCGAACCCCTGGACCGATCTAGGTGAATTACAAGTATGTTGCTCACCCAGGTCAGACCTACCAGGGGACCCCTTATTTGTCCCTGTACCCCTTGTATTTAGGGGACATCCAGAAAGTGGGGAAAACTCTGTCCCCACTAATCTGGTTAAGTGCTAATCTAAGGGGAGGAGAGGGAGGGGAGGTGACCGGGTTACAATTGGTTACTGTACTAATTATGAAAGTTACCTCCCTTGCATAGGAGAAATGCATAAAAGCAGACTTGTGAATAAAGCTGGCAGTTGACTCCCAGACTATGTGTCGTCTAGTGCTTGGGGAGGTGGATTATGCTGTGTTCCTGTGATTTTGTATGCTGAATCTTTGTTCCCAGCGGAGAGCCATTGGATTTACCCCTGCTCCTCCGCTACATAGCCACATTCGTGTTTTTAATGGAGGGTGGCTGACTTTCTCCTAGAATCCTGGGGGAGCTGGTGGGATGTTATTATGGCAAGTAATTCCACAGTAATGTCATACTGATACAGGACTTATATCAGGAATAGAAACCATAGCCGTACTCATCTGTAATACGAGAAAAATGTAAAAATTATAAAGTTCGAATGTTTGTTACTCATTCCCAGGCTGTGTGCCGCTTCTGTAGGTAGATCTCACGTACCCAGGAAATTACTTAGACAGTCTTGATCTTCAATTAACTCTCTGTGTTCCTGACTGCGAACCAAGAGTCCTGGATTCATACATTTCACAGTTCCAAAAAGCTGGATCTCGCCTACTCAGTACATGTGCCTAGAGTGTCTTTAAAGGACCACTATAGTGCCAGGAAAACATACTCGTTTTCCTGGCACTATAGTGCCCTGAGGGTTCCCCCACCCTCAGGGTCCCCCTCCCGCCGGGCTCTTGGGAGAGGAAAGGGGTTAAATCTTACCTCTTTCTCCAGCGCCGGGCGGGGTGCTCTCCTCCTTCTCTCTGCCTCCGATCCTCCTCTTCGACTGAATGTGCATGCGCGGCAGGAGCTGCGCGTGCATTCAGCCGGTCTCATAGGAAAGCATTCATGATTTTCACAGTGAGAAGCACGCAAACGCCTCTAGCGGCTGTCAATGAGACAGCCACTAGAGGCTTTAGAGGCTGGATTAACCTATTTATAAACATAGCAGTTTCTCTGAAACTGCTATGTTTATTTTAAAAAAAGGGTTTATCCTAGAGGGACCTGGCACCCAGACCACTTCATTAAGCTGAAGTGGTCTGGGTGCCTAGAGTGGTCCTTTAAGTTATTCACCAAACACTGAGTTGTAGTTTCTATTACTTTTCATAGTAATTTCATTTATAACTTCCTTTCATTGAAAGTACTGCTTCTAGGGCTGACAGGAACAAGTTATTAACGTTTAATTACGCTCCTCGCTGCATGTGCCTGTCACACCAAGAGATCTCTTTATATTCTATCTAAATCCGTGGAAACCTAATGGTGTCTGCAACATTAACTGCCAGCACGTAATCCTGCCTGTCACTCACAGAAAAAAATATCGCAGCCGATGCAATGTACTCTGCACTTTCCAACTGCTCACCACCTGTGTACTCAGTGTGTGTAATCTGAGAGTACACTGTGTGATAGCCATTGACGTAACCAACCAAGAGTTTTCGATGAAGGCTACACATTTCCCATTGTGATTACAATATTTCAGCAATTGTTAGAAAAGTCTACATGATGATTCCTGCTAGAAACAGGTACAAGGGAGCTGCTTGCGGTAGAAAAGGAACGACTTGAAATGTTGCTGCAAACGATGTACAAAATAGGAAAACCGTTTTCAACAAATTAATATAAAGCTCCTTGCCATCCTATGTCTGGTGTATCCTGCACTTTGTGAGTTTAATAAAAGTCACACTTGCTTTATTTTTCCCTTAACAATATAAAGCGTGTATAGACAAATGTATACACTAAGTAGATATAAAGGAGAACATTTGTTTATGTAAATCCGTTTTATGTCCTTTATCAGTCTCCTCAGAAGACACTACAAAGAACGCTGTCGGACGAGAGCCTCTGCAGCGGCCGCAGGGACCCCGGGTTTGCATGCTCCCCAAGACTTGAGTCACCATCAGGCAACGATGTCCTGTTCAACAGCTCCTACCCATCCAGTACCCTACCTGTTCGACGCCAGCACCCATCCAGCATGCCTGACAAATGCGGTAAAGTCTCTATTTGCCTATTGTGTGTTGATATTCTGTGTGCAGAATGGTGTACACTGCTCTAGACTTGGTGCGTTATGGTGTAAACTAGAAGCTGCCGCATTCATAGTCCTGACTGCTCATAAACAATGCTTAGAAGAAACTTGTCTGTGTAATCAACGTGATATAAACATCGGGAATATTGTAGACTGGCTGCATAGGAGTGTGATTAAAATCCCATCTACACTGGGATCTAGGGTTGCCATTTTGTCACGGCACATTTACCAATGCTGAACTCTGCAAAAAGTGTTATAGGGATTCAAATAACCCAGAAACATGTTCAGGGGAAAGCAAATTGTAAGTTCAAGCGCTTGGAGACATAAAATAAGACGCACAGATAATTGTGAATCAAAAATTACTTCCACTTTTATTGGGAGAGTTTAGATATTTAGATACTGAAAAATAGCTTTGTGGCTTGCACGACAAAAACAGGATGCTTGAAGGCACCTTGTACCATAAAAGAAATGTACAGAACTAAGCACATTTCAACCGTTATATATAAAAAAAAAACATGGTTAGTTAGGACATAAGAAGAGGGGCTGAAGGTAAAGCTGCAATCGTCTCCTCGGAAATCAATTTGCCAACTTAGAGTTATCTATTGTTAATATGCTGTATTAGAAACACTCCACCTTCCTAAAGCCCCTCTGATGGCTGGTGACCTGCATGTTGTTTTATTTTATAGAAATCAACATTTTGTATAAACCCCTTCGTTGAACCCTCTTATCTGTCAGTTAGCCCAGAGCATTTCTGACCTCACTCGCTCTGACCACCTGTGTCAAGCAGTATGCAGTGCTTCTCATTAACCCCTTAAGGACACGTGACATGTGTGACATGTCATAATTCCCTTTTATTCCAGAAGTTTGGTCCTTAAGGGGTTAAGAAGTATTTGATTGGCGGAGTGCGGCCATTGCTGTGTATACACCGCAGTTCCCCAATTAGAAGCATTGGACAGGACCCAAGATTATCAATTATGATGATCTCAAAGTGGGAGGAGTAGGCTGAGACGAGGAGCCAGGGCCAGTGCTGGAAAAAAAAGAGTTGTTTTTAATTTATTTTTTAATTAAAGGCGCCCTAAATCTAAAACCAAAATCAGATAAAATATTTATTAAAAGAAAACTTCCCTGAAAAGGCACAGTTTACATTGCTGAACCTTCTGGTGAATCCTGTGTCCCTTTAATAAATACATTTATTTTTAAGATATTCCTTTACATTCTGTATAGATTTCTGATGATTTAATATACTCTCTCTGCCGAACAAAAGTTTACAAATTGGTTAACTCTTCCAGAGATGCGTTCGGCACTGCTGGAGAAAACGCTGTGTTTGCATACAAAATTGTTCCATTACATGCCAGAGTGTATATTAGAGCCGCCTAGAACATGGAAGTACAGTGGAGGGAAGTAATGTTTTTATAATAACTTTAGCTGCATTGTTCTCCCCAGTAAGCTCTGTAACGAGGACGTCACTTCTCTGATCTTGATCTTGAGTTACAGCCAAGCTCCCAAAGGACACATCTTGATATGTGCATTGGTGTCACACTGGGATCCAACATGCTGCTTGGCTGTATTTAAAAACTCTGTCTGACAGAATGTCACGCCTTCTATAAATATAAACCGCAGTGTTCTTCAATGGGAATTAACCAGCTTACAGATATGTTACAGTATCAATCCCTCCTTCAATTCCACAGCCAACAAATCCTCCTCCGAGCTGTCTCTAACTGACATCCGTGACACAAACAGCCGACACATGGACCCAGGAATGATGCCCCTGCCCGACACCGCAGCTGGCCTGGAGTGGTCAAGTCTGGTCAGTGCTGCCAAGGCCTTTGAAGGTAAGACAGGTATGAAGGAGACAGTATAGTGTTGGGAAGATCAGACACTGTAATCAGTTAGTAAGAAGAGAGTATAAAACCCAGTCTCTCTATAAAAATGGATTTCTTTTGCAGTGCAGAGGGCTGCCTCACTCTTCTCTCTAAATGAAGCTGCTCTGAGTCCTGAGCTTCGACCCGTGCCGAATGTGGGCACTGCCCACCTGAGCCTGGAAAGACAGCACACCCCCCGCACCACCCCCACATCAAGGTACCCAGTGCCTGGCTCTTTATTAACCTGTATTCCAGATCTAGTACTGATGATTTCACCCACACGCATACACAAACATACCAAGAGGGGCACGGCCACAACAAACATACCAAGAGGGGCACAACCGCAACAAATATACCAAGAAGGGCACGGCCACAACAAACATACCAAGAGGGGCACGGCCACAACAAACATACCAAGAGGGGCACGGCCACAGCAAACATACCAAGAGGGGCACGGCCACAACAAACATACCAAGAGGGGCACGGCCACAACAAACATACCAAGAGGGGCACGGCCACAACAAACATACCAAGAGGGGCACGGCCACAACAAACATACCAAGAGGGGCACGGCCACAACAAACATACCAAGAGGGGCACGGCCACAACAAACATACCAAGAGGCTCACGACCGTAACAAACATACCAAGAGGGGCACGACCGTAACAAACATACCAAGAGGGGCACGACCGTAACAAACATACCAAGAGGGGCACGACCGCAACAAACATACCAAGAGGGGCACGACCGCAACAAACATACCAAGAGGGGCACGACCGCAACAAACATACCAAGAGGGGCACGACCGTAACAAACATACCAAGAGGGGCACGACCGTAACAAACATACCAAGAGGGGCACGACCGTAACAAACATACCAAGAGGGGCACGACCGTAACAAACACACCAGGAGAGTCACGGTCAAAACAAACATACCAGGAGGGGCCCGACAGCAACAAACATATAAACACAGGCATGGCCACAACAAACATACCATAGAGGGCCACACACACTACAGACATACCAGGAGGGCCACACACACTACAGACATACCATAGAGGGCCACACACACTACAGACATACCATAGAGGGCCACACACACTACAGACATACCATAGAGGGCCACACACACTACAGACATACCATAGAGGGCCACACACACTACAGACATATCATAGAGGGCCACACACACTACAGACTTACCATAGAGGCCACACACACTACAGACATATCATAGAGGGCCACACACACTACAGACATATCATAGATGGCCACACCCACTACAGACTTACCAGGAGAGCCACACACACTACAGACATACCATAGAGGGCCACACACACTACAGACTTACCAGAGGGCCACACACACTACAGACATACCATAGAGGGCCACACACACTACAGACATACCATAGAGGGCCACACACACTACAGACATACCATAGAGGGCCACACCCACTACAGACTTACCAAGAGGGCCACACACACTACAGACATACCATAGAGGGCCACACACACTACAGACATACCATAGAGGGCCACACACACTACAGACATACCATAGAGGGCCACACCCACTACAGACTTACCAAGAGGGCCACACACACTACAGACATACCATAGAGGGCCACACACACTACAGACATACCATAGAGGGCCACACACACTACAGACATATCATAGAGGGCCACACACACTACAGACTTACCATAGAGGACCACACACACTACAGACATATCATAGAGGGCCACACACACTACAGACTTACCATAGAGGGCCACACACACTACAGACTTACCAGGAGAGCCACACACACTACAGACATACCATAGAGGACCACACACACTACAGACTTACCATAGAGGGCCACACACACTACAGACTTACCATAGAGGGCCACACACACTACAGACATACCATAGAGGGCCACACACACAGCGCACATATCATAGAGGGCCACACACATACAGACTTACCAGGAGGGCCACACACACTACAGACTTACCAGGAGGGCCACACACACTACAGACTTACCAGGAGGGCCACACACACTACAGACTTACCAGGAGGACCACACACACAGCGCACATACCATAGAGGGCCACACACACAGCGCACATACCATAGAGGGCCACACACACAGCGCACATACCATCGGGGGCACATATATTATAAATATACCAGGAGGGGGCACGGTGACTGCAGGGAACAAACCTTCTGATTCATTTACCCTAATGCACATTGATATCCAATCCTACATACTGATTAACTGACAGTGAAACACCCCTCTTCCATTTGTTAATGTTGTGCTGAATGATATGTCTGTGTATTTATTGTAAGTAAAGCATTGATTTTACACTGATGTGTCCATGCTTCATATCTGCACAGACACTATACAAGCCTGGAGCTGTACTACAAATCTTTGTCTTTTCCTTCCTTTCAGTGACGAGATATCTCCGGACCTCACTGGGAAAGTCCTGCAACTGGAAGTTATGTTAAAGCAGCTTCATACTGACCTGCAGAAGGTACGCAATGAATGAAGCTCCATAAAAACTACACTTCCTGAGAGAATAACCGCGTAGATTGCTTGGTGCATAGCTCCTGGAAAGCTGTGTCTGTTCCAAAGAATGGCATTTCTAATGCTTCTAATTTCTTTGTAATCCAGGATTTAATGTTAGGATGAACCTCTCAAATAGCTGCTCCCCGCAATGCCAATTAGTAACTGGAATCCTATCTAGTTGTCATTTTAATAGTGACAGAATGTCTCTTAATCTGCTGGCTCATATCACCCATTCTTCAAGAAAATCGACCACTGGGATTGATAGATAATTTTAACATTTTTGACCCAATCTGCTCTCCTAGGAGCTGTGGTCTAATAACCTTTATGTTCCCAAGGACGCTGTTTATACATAAATGTACGCTCTGTGCTCCTGAGAAAACATGCAGAATGGAACAAAGAGAGTGATTTTATTAAAATGGGCGACATAACATAATCCTGATTTATATATATACACACCTTTAATATTGTATCTTTGTCCTGGAATCCTTTGGCGTTCAATCTAGAAGTGTTGCTGTTAAACTTTGACACATAGAATTTGTATTTCCCTGTAGGAGAAGCTGGACAAGGAAGCCTTGCAACTCGAGGTGGCGAACCTTCGTCATAATAATCAGCGTCTTCAAGCAGAGTCTCATTCAGCTAGCGAGCAGCTCCGAAAATTTGCTGAGATTATCTCCAGCACGGTGGAGAACAAGGAAAACTGACATGTCCTCTTTGTTCACGTTGACTTTGCTTCTTTACCGTTTTCAAATGGAATACGAACACTTTCTTTTCTCCTTCATCGTGATCGTTTCACTAGAGTCCACCCATTGTGGAATTTGTTTAAACTACCTGCAAGGCAGGCCTCTGCATTAATTTATTTATAACAAATGCAAGACTTTTAATTTTTTGTTTTGATTTATATGCATTGTTTATTTTGTTTCTTGTACAGATCTTTTTTTTTTCTTCTTGTAGATTTGTATAAACCTGAAAAAATGTTAATGAAAAAATAAGTGTATTTTCTGACTCAGTAAGGCTTCCACTTGGAATTATGCAAATCGGACAAACGCCCAATTTAAAGGGGCGTAAAACACTAAACCCGCTGAGGGTGGAAAAATTATATATTTAAAAAATCTATAGAAACTTATATTTGGGAAAGAGCTCTTGAGATGAATCTTTAAATATCACACAGATTTCATACAAATTTATTTTAATACAGCTAGATTATAACTGGAAAGGCTATGGCACTGCAGTAATGACGGTATATTTTGTTAATATAAATAAGGGGCGCAGGTTTTTGTGGTTTGGGGTTTTTGGGGTGTTTTTTGTTGGCAGGGAGAAGTAAATCTGAAATTTTGAGATTTGTGTTTTCTGCATATGTTCATAAGATCGTGTTAATTATTCCAGTAAAATATATATATATATAAATACATCTGATAATTTGCGCAAAAAAAACTTTTGAAAAGTTTACAGCAGCTACATTCCACACATGGAAATGTTCTGGGATTAAATCCAGACACAAACTAACACTATTTATACTTGAAATTTTGTGGTGTGTTGAGCATAGACATCTCTTTTTGCATCTAATTTGGACGTGGGACCATGACGAGTGTACTTTGTGTGATTATTGTATACCAAACATTGCCCCTTTAACAGCACTGTCCCCATGAAAGTCGCCTTAAAACCTGCATTTGTTAATGAGACCGCACTGCAACTGTTTGTTTGGGTTTTTTGCTATATATATTTTATTTCTTCTTTGTCATCAAAAAACTGTTTTCAGTGACTGTATGGTGAATCTGCTCTCCGGATCTCAGACGGGGGTCTCTTAAGGCCCTAAAACAAAGCTTCAGCCGCTATCTTGGAAAAAAGACAATTGTCTAAGCAGCCATATTGCTCAGTTCTAAGACTGGTCTTTTAAAGATGGCGAGGTGTAGTGACATTAAAGGACTTCCTGTCCAAAGCCTCTGCGGGTGATGGATGAAGGTGTTGGGCTTTCTTGCTTTTAAATGGACATAATTTATTTTGTAAACGCTATCTTGGCGGTAGGATAACTGAAACATGCAATGTGAAAACACTATATTTGTATAAATTATGCTACATTTTCTACACCATTATCCTTCCTTTTCTGAAGGTCGCTGGCTGAGCAGACGCTGTTTACATTGAAATGAATCTTAAAATTACATTTTTCAAGACAGACGTGAATCTGTATTTTTCATACAAATTTCAGTTGCGGTTCTGTGCTGCAAATAGGATGAGCCTGAAATGGAACAATACAAGTATTTGTTATTCTGCGTGCGATTATAATAAAATGAAATTGTCAGAATGAGTCATCACAATTTGCTGAAACACACAAATGCAGAATGTGTATTAGAATGTTCTCTGTGCACACACATTTAGCTGATATTTTTCACAATAATTTGGTATATCACACAAGATTAATTTTTCCCCCCAGTAACCTGAAAGATTGTGCAATTAACACTCTAAACCTGTCACTGTCATTAAGTCACGTTGCTCCTACATTGGACTGTCCCTTAAACCCATTAAACATGTCACTGTTATGCATCAAACCTTGGCACTCTTGCATTAACCCCTTTAGCAGCTTACCTTTTTCCAGCGCCGGGATCCCTCGGGGCTGGTGACCTCTCCTCCCACGCCGATGTCGGCGGAGCCGAATGCACATGTGTGGCAAGTGCCGCGCACATTCAAGCTGTCAATAGGAAAGCAATTTTCAATGCTTTCCTATGGACGCTCTGCGCGATGGAGGCATTAAATGCCTCCAACATCGCAGATGCGCCTCTAGTGGCTGTCTGGGAGACAGCCACTAGAGGCTGGCTTAACCCCAAATGTAAACTTAGCAGTTTCTCTGAAACTGCTATGTTTGCATCTGAAGGGTTAAAACCTGAGGGACGTGGCACCCAGACCACTTCATTGAGCTGAAGTGGTTTGGGTGACTATAGTGTCCCTTTAAGTATTTCTTTCCTAAAAAAAAAAAAGCTCCTATTTTATTTCCATTGCTCCTGTTTCTTGCTGAGAGAGTCACTCCTGTCTTTCCCTCTATTCTTAGATTGTGTGTCGAAAGCTCCCACAATAAAGTAAGTGTTCTTGCATAGCAAGACCACTTAATATTATCTCACATATATATTATCATTATTCTTATTATAGCCAAATTTACCACCCTAACTCCTCCCACAGTTTTTACACTACATAGACAGTAATATACCGAAACGTGCAGATTGTTCCCGATTGGTGTGCAATTACTTTGTGGAACGTTTTGCTGAATGGTTCACAAAATGTTGTTTTTGAGGCGAAATTGGTCCCAAAGGAATGAATGGCGAAATGTTCAAAGCTAGAGTGGGAGCTGGCAAAAGCTGAAAAATCAGGGCATGATTTCTAAACTGCCACCACTCCCTTATTTTCAGGCCCACCTACACAAATCTTATTTCAAAACGTTCAGCTATCCCTGCTGCCACTAAACATGTCCACGGCTAAGCCATAGTTTTCACAATATGACCATTTGTTTGAAACTCCACTCTAGCCACCTGAAATTTGAAGGGCAATTTCTAAACTGCGACTGTACCTTCATTGTTAATATTTCAGAGACATACTATGCATCAAAATGTAGGTCTGGATCTTGTGATTCTCACAATATAAAGCTCTTCGCTGTAGGATTTATAGTTTTTTTAAATACGACCTTTTGAAGATGGCAACCGCCAGTGAAGTGAGCAATTTGTTTCTAACCGCTCTTCTCTGCCCTGTTTGCAATCTATTAGTTCCAGTTGGTGGAATGTTCGAGGGATATGAAACCCTGTGTAACAAGGCTGCAATATGAAGATCCTGTTATATATGTATCAATAAAGTGATTACTTCGTTATACAGGAATTAGTGACTGATTTGTACAAAACATCACAGTGGCAGCAGGGATAGTTGAACGTTTTGATATAAATTGGTACATTTATATCCCTACATGGCAAGACCACTTACTATTATCTCACATATATATTATTATTCTTATTAGCTATTTGGAGCAGTTTGTTTTTAACCGCTCTTCTCTGCCCTTGCTGTAGACCTTTCCACAGTTACTCCAGCCACCCAACCACACAACAGTTACTCAAGCCACTCCACCCAGTTACTCCGCCCACTCCAGTTGTAGACTACTGGTGGAGGCAAGAACACTTGACACAATTTCCCCAGAAATTGTAGCTTTTCTAGTTCTGGCTTGTTCTCTCCACGCTGCTGGTGCTGCTCCCACACAGTGCTGCCCCTCCTCTGCTTGCAGTTCCCTTAGGCGAATGGCAAGCACAAGAGGAGGAAGTCCCCTTATCTGGATTCAATGTACTTCTTACCCATTTCGGCTAAATTTGAACAACATGCATTGTAGATAATATGTATTTAAACAGGCAATAATAGATCAAATACGCGCCTGGTCCAGATAAGCAATTTTTTTGTTGAAATAACTGAATTGCTTTTGAATTGTAGATTATGCTAACGTAGTGTACCTATAATCTTGATTTTAATAATGACAGGAGGCGAATATTTTGCATAACTTTCTTTACTTTATGCCTCCAGCAGCACAAGTCAATCAATAAACTTTAAACCAATCAGTAACAGGCATCACATCCATATATAAATCCCTGACAGACACATGACTTCCAGAAATACGTGAAAGGTGATGGAAACCAACTGTTGTCTACATTAAATCCAGTACTATGCGCATCTATATTTATATTAAGTAAATATACTGAAACATTAAACAACCATAGTATACTTAATAATCAACACAGATCTAACACGTCAACCAGATAAACATCCCATAAATATACTGAAATACCAAAACCTTATAATTACACTGAGAAAATGACAACACATAATATTATAATTTTCCAGAGTATAGGGAGGGACAGGCCTCCTGTCATTATTAAAATTAAGATTATAGTTGCACTACGTTAGCATAATCTACAATTTTATCACATGACAGCGAATATTTTGCATTTTTAAAGCTGTGGTATGAGCAAGAAGGATGCGTGTGTGGTTGACTAAAATAAATATACGGAAGTGGTCTATCCGTGTCTAATTCGTCACTGTAAAATATAGAGGCCCCCCGTGAAGGCCTGAAAAGCAGCCGCGCCTCGTACCGAATGAGTACCCAAAACACGTCTCCACCCCCGCTAGCGATAACCAATGAACCCATCTAGACAGAGTGTTCATGGTAACTGGCTTGTATGGTTGGTACAAGACCAGCAGATGTCCTGAATGTGACAATCTAGGTTTGTCGTGATCTCCATGTAACAAAGTACCACTTTAACTGCACAAAGACTTGGAAACCGCCGGGAACAGGGTAAGATACGGACGCGGATAAGATTTAGTTCTACGAGACACCGTAGAAATCATTCCTTACGGTGATACCGAAAAGACCGTCTACGTCGAACTCCAGTACATCTGTTACCCGACAAAAAGACCTGACTATGGCTGACGGAGGGATAGGTCCGTGTTATCTGACTAGTTCCAAAATAACCAAATCAAAGTCCCACAACAGTGATACTTTGATGCATGGTTCTGGACAGTTTGATACCTTGCAGAAAGTGGCATATCAAAGGCTCCTGATCGACCGGAGTGTCGTGAATCGTACTATGCGTCGGCGAAATCGCAGAACGTATCCCGTTAATGGAACGTTCCGATCGGCCGGTAGTGAAAAGGTATGATAAAGATTCAGCATCGAGGAGATAGGGGTAATAAAGGGATCGCAGTCCCTTCCCATACACCAGCGAACTCCAGGTGTTCCATGCGGATAAGTTATTTCGGGGAATGAGTCCCATAATAGGTCTCTAGTTGGTTGCGATAGCCCCTTGACATACCAGTCTCCCCTGAAAGACACCAATCCACCAACTCCAGACGCTCCTGCATTATCAATAGATGATGTTCTCCTTTTGGATCTGCCCGAAGGCAAGTTAAAACTGAAGGAGCAGAGGACAACCATTCTGGGTGCCACGCTTGACTCCTTTACCGCAGTAATGAGTACTATCGAAGTCTTTGCTATTCTGATCCCTATTTCATAGGTGTGTCCGGATCTCATGCAGTGAGCTTTCAGTCGCTGTCTGGCCCGGTAGTGAAGCGGTCCTGGGAAATAGTCAAAGGGTTATGGTGCCTTTCCACCGCACCCGTTGAATTTCCTTACGAATCGTCGCTATCAATGATGTGGGAAGGTGTAATCCGCCCAAGGTGGAATCTATTCCGAAGTAGAGGAACTGAATCACTCAGAACTGGGATAGAACCGACTCCGCTCTGTTCACTATGAATCCCAACAATTCCCGAAACTGTAAACATAAATCTCGTTTGTAAACGTAGTCAGGAATTGGATTTGCAAAAGGTCAGTAAGTCATCTAGGTATGCGACAGCGGATACACTTTGCTCTTCAGTGCGCCATGACCGGCTTCAGAAACTTCATGAGGCACCATGTGATCCAGTAGGTAAGTGCCCTTCAAATCCAACCTTGCAAACCCCTTTCGAGGAGTAGATCCCCTAAGAGATTGATACCTTCCTTCTTGAGTTGTCGGTACGCCCCAAAACTGAACTGTTGCTGAGATAAATGGTTCTCCAAACAATAGTCCGTCCGCCTGAGTAAGAGGGGGTCACCCCTGTACCACAATGTCACTTTGGAGAAGTGTCTGCCATGCTTGGGGGTCACCCAGCGTATGTTCCTCCCTGTGGGAAAGGAGTGTATCCAGTGGTTGTGAGGCAGTGGAGGATCCAGAGCCTGATCTCGGGAGGGGCACTTGTAGATTATTTAAATAAATAATCCTGGCACAATAACCACTACAGCTCAGTGTAGTAGTTATGGTGCCAGTAGTGCCAGGATCCCACCCCAGAGTAAGTAGTCATACCGTTTAAGAACAGTTTGACAACTTACCTGGGGTCTGCTGGGATATATGGCATAGGAGCAGCGGTGTGTGTTAGGGGTGCAGTGTGTGTGAGCGGTGAAGTGTGTGTGAGCGGTGAAGTGTGTGCGTGAGGGCGGCAGTGTATGTCAGGGTTGCAGTGTGTGTGAGCGTGGCAGTGTGTGTATGGGGGGGCACTGTATGTCTGTGTGGGGCAGTGTGTATGGGGAGGGCACTTTATATATGGGGGCAGTGTGTGTGTGGGGCAATGTGTGTATGGGGGGGCAGCAGTGTGTGTAGGGCACTGTGTGTGTATGAGTGTGCAGTGTGTGTATGGGTGGGCAGTGTGTGTGTGTGGGGGAATGGAAGGAGGGTATGGAGGCTTTTTTTTTTAAAGTATTTAATAAAATATTTTGCTGTTCCCCCCTCCCTTCTTACCTTTGTTGAGGAGGAGGGGGGACATTTCTCCGTCCCTGGTGGTCCAGTGTGGAGTGAAGTCTAGCCCGCGCTCCAGGGCTAGACTTCACTCTCGCGAGATTTGGAGCATTGCCGTGGTAACCGCGGCAACGCTCCAAATCTCGCGAGAGAAGGATCCGGAGGAGCTGCTGGTAAGAGCTCCCGGGTCCTCTCTCCCTCCCTCCCCCGCCGGCTGTCAGCAATGTGCCTGCGGACCGGGGAGGGAGATCACTCACCCCAATCCGCAGGCACATAGCATGGCTGGCACTTGGACAATGCCAGACCTGCATTAGCCGGCAGGGGAGAATCTCGGGGGAGGGGGGCAATTATTGCCCCGTTGCCCCCCCCCGGATCCGCCAATGTTGTGAGGTCCGGTGGGAGTAGGGAGCTGAGTAAGTTATCAGCTCTATTTAATTTCCCTGCCAGCAGATAGAGTAATGCATCCACTATATGCCCACAGCAGGGAACAATCCTACATATTCATGCAGAGTTACATATAAAACTTTTATTCCACATGCCAATGAAATATGACAGTCCATTCATAATCTTCCAGAAAAGGTACATTTAAAACCTTTATTCGACATGCCCATGATATGTATTAGTATTGAGCTAAAAAGTACTTGTAAAACTTTAATTTCACAGGAAAAATATTTTAAACAGTACAGATGCCGCGAGATTCAAGATGGCCGCCGTTCGCGCGCAAAAGTGCCGTGGAACAGAGTCTCCCCGACATCCCCAACCCCCAGAGACCTGCCCTGAAGTCCCGGCACCAGTAAATAAAAAAAGCGTGCTCGCGGTAAAACGCCGCGAGACCAGAGTAAAAAAGCGTGCTCGCGGTAAAACGCCGCGAGACCAGAGTAAAGTATAGGAAAGAAAAGGTGCCAGCAACAGAAAACCAAACAGGCTAATAAAGCAGAAAACTAAAGGAATATCAGAGAGAAACGGAAGAATTTAAAAAGAAAAAATTTCATAGGGACGAATAGGATTATCAGAGGGATCAGGTTTATACCTGGTACACTAGAACAGACAATCGTTCATATAGACCAAACTGAGACACAAATTCACAGAGATGGCGTTCGGATACAGAGGGGGCTACATCCTCCTCCTCTGCCTCCTCATCCTCAGGAATGACTTTTTTAGAGAGAGGCACACGACACGAAGAAACATCAGGAGGGGGGGTTACAACAAGAGGCACACGGGAGAGAAAACAAGGCCGACCGCCCCAATCCAGACGCAATCTCTGATACACAATATTTCAGGTAGGCCTCTAACCCCTACGGAGGAGGGGACCCTGAATAAGGGACTCTCCTTTATTCCCACACCTCATGTAGAGTGGG